CAAGCAACCTCTCCCACCTGCACAAGACAGTCCACTGATGAAGAGACACTTTAAATATAATAGAATAATAACACAGGTATGTCAAAAGAAGTGATATTTGCTCAAACACACCAGTGAGGTATCCCCTACACCTTCACATAAAATAACATACAAAACACGAAGAAATAGGTGGAGCAAATGGTGATAATGAAAGAAAGAAAAATAAAATTAATACTTCTCTTTCTTCTAAATTTAAGCTGTGGGAAATAGAGAGATACAAAAATAGTGCAAATATTGCTGTACACAAACTCTTAATAAATATGTGTCAAATTCACTCACAATGGAAGAGCCATATAATATAACCTGGCTCTGGTGTGGATCTCCTCTGGGATCTTAATTGGGTGATCCCCAGACCTCTTTGATGCTTGTTATAGTCAGTCTCCCCTCAGTGATGAACCATGGAAGGTATTTTCCAAAGCAAAGAATATTTATTCAAAAAAGGTAAATAAATAAAAATAAGTAATAGTAATACAATAAATAAAACCTTGTAATGTCCAATATGCTTGCCAAAACGCGTTTCGCCGATGTGGCTTCCTCAGTTGGCATATAATGTTGGTATTCTCTTGATTCTTTAAATCTTCTTAGAGTTCGCGGTCAAATTTCCGGTGGAACGCATATGCGTTCCACCTAGTACTTCCGGGTTCCGTCCCCTTGGTGACGTCCATGTCACTTCCGGTTTCGGCAATAATTCAATATATCAGGTGGAACGCATCTATGCGTTCCACCGTTGATTTCCTAGTTCCATGACATCATTTCCGGTCTCGGCCGGACTCGTGCGTGCATACATCTCTTTTTAGGCGTCATTGGAACGCATATGCGTTCCATACTAATTATACTGTCCATAATGTCTTTTAAAAGCCAATGTAATACTTGAGAATGTTGCAAACAAATCTTTTTCAAACAATGCTTAGAGCCAAATAATGTTAATCCAATATTTCAAATAGTGATCCAATGAGAAGATGGAAAATAAGTAATAGAGGTGTCTAAAAGCAAGTATAAAATATGCCCTTAAGCTGGTACAAATAAAACATTACCAATTCTAAAAACATAATGTAAAAATAAAACTAAAAATATATTTTCTAATGGAAGGCATACATACTATAATTATAAAAAACGGACAAACACCTATATTAAGAACGTTCCTAAAATCTTAAAGGTATATCACAAGCAGAGTTATATTAAAAATTAAAAGTATATCACAAGCAGAGTTATACTAAAAAATGACACAACTCAAAGTCTTGATTAAGACCATGGGGAATCAGGGTCTTAAAATTGTAGATACACTTCATTTCTTCTTCCCCTATCTTTTTGTTAAAATCTCCGCCTCTCCAATCTTTTTGTACAGTTTTAATAGCACAAAAAAATGTATTTTTTGGATTGCTGTTATGGTGCATTTTAAAGTGGTCAGAGACACTATGTGTCTCTACTCCTTTTTTTATATTTCTAACATGTTCGGAAATTCTAATGTTGAGACATCTCGTAGTTCTTCCTACATAAATTAAATCACAGGGGCATTTTAAAATATAGATCACATTTTTTGAAAAACACGTTAATTGATCTCTGATATAAAAGGTCTTATCATTCTGATAATTAAAAGATAGCACATGTCTTTTTTTCTGGCATGTGGTTCTACAAGCTAAACATGAACCACAGCCATAAAAACCTTTGCTTTTTTAAAAAAAAGGATCTTTCTGTTTAGTTTTAAAACTACTATTTACTAAAATCTGTTTCATATTTTTACAGCCCCTATAGACTATTTTGGGTTCTGATGGTATTATTTGTTTTAGAACTGGATCTTCCTGCAAAATTGGCCAGTATTTTTTAATAATTTTCCTGATTTTTCCGTTATTGCCGCTGTGGTTACATATGAAGGGTATGTTAATGTGGTTTTTGTTTTTATTATTTTTCAGTTTTGTTCCCTTCTGTTTTATCAAGTCCTTTCTTTTCATCTTTTTTACTTCCTCTAAAGTTTTTGAAAGTGCTTCCTCATCATAACCTCTTTGTAAAAATTGTTGTTTGATTACGTCTGCCTGGGTTGTGTAATCGGAGTCTTTTGTACAATTCCTTCTAAGTCTTAGGAATTGACTTTTAGGGGCATTCGTTAACCATGGAGGGTAGTGGCAGCTCTTTTTCTCGATATAGCTGTTAGCATCTACCTCTTTGAAGTGATTTCTAGTATGGATCCTTGATTCAGTGATAAAAATTTCCAAATCTAAAAAATCAATATGATGAGTATTATATATATAAGTTAAAACAATCCCCCATTCATTATTGTTTAAAAAATCAAGGAAGACTTTTAGACTTTCTTCTCCATCTTTCCAGATAAAAAATATATCATCGATGTATCGGCGATAGGTAACCAAGTTCGTCGCATGGCTACTTGGGAACAGAATAATTTCTTCCCAGTAAGCCATAAATAAATTCGCATAGCTTGGTGCGAACTTGGTACCCATCGCCGTACCCGTGATTTGCATAAAAAAAGAGTCTTTAAACCAGAAGAAATTGTTTGTTAAGATCAATAAAATACCTTCCAATATAAAATCTATTTGTGAATCTTTAAAATTGGATTTCTTTAAAAAATATTTCGTAGCTTCTATCCCTATGGAATGGGGTATGATGCTATATAAGGATCCGACATCGCACGTAACTAATAGGTAATGATCTTGCCACTCTATATCTTCTAAGACTTGAAGCATATGGATGGTATCTTTCAAGTACGAAGAATTTTTCTCTACTATCGGTTGTAACAGATTGTCTATATATTCCGAAGTTCGTGAAGAAATCGAATCAATTCCGGATATTATTGGTCTACCAGGAGGGTTATTTCTATTCTTATGCACTTTGGGTAAATAATAAAATACCGGAATTTTAGGATATAAGATGTTCAAATATTTTCTTTCTTCTTCTTTTAAAATGCCAAGATTATAACCTTTTTCTATATAATTATTAAACTTAGTTTGGATATCTGAACTCGGGTTGGTATTGACTTTTTTATAAGTGTCGATATCTAGGAGGATTCTTTCCGCTTCTATAATGTAATCATCTGTTTTTAAAATTACAATACCTCCTCCTTTGTCAGCTGGTTTCACGATTAGATCTTCCTTTTTTTTCAAATCCATTACTGCTTTTTGTTCTATCATCGATAAATTCTTTTGAAATTTATTCATCTTTTTGATACTGCGAGCTTCTTTCATAATCATTTTTTCGAAGGTTTTCATTTCATCCGAAATCATGAATTTTGGAAAGAATTTGGATTTTTGTTTTAAATCAGTTTGAGTGTATTCTTTGTTTTTATCTTCTATGTCGGTCCTAATTTCTTTATTAAAAAAAATTTTTTTTAAAGACAATTGTCTTATAAACCTATTGACATCTATAAAAAAATTAAATTCGTTAAAATCAACTGTTGGGGCAAATTTTAAACCTTTCTGCAATATATTAACATGATCCTCCTTTAATGGGGCTCCAGTTAAATTAAAAATTCCTTCTACATTTAATTCCTTCCTCTTTTCTCTCTGTTTGACGGTTCTTCTTCTATTTCTCCTTCTTCTATTGATCTCAGGCGTTTTCCTGGTGATTCCCATACCTGCGGATGTTGGAATTGTCTCTGAAGCTGTCGAGTTCGGTCCTGTTGAAAAAACTGATCTGGCTCTTGATTTGTTAAACTTTGAAATCTATTAGTTAATACAATATCATTCGGATATGATGATAGATTTCTATGTTGATTGGAATATCTTCTATCTATCTTTGGTGTTTGTATATGTTCCCTATAGTGATTTCTTCTCGGATGTTTTACAACTTCGCTATAACTTCTCTGTTTGTTATAGTTTCCGTTTTTGTTTTGTTCTGTATATGTTTTCCTCTCATTCTGTTTTATTTGAGGGCTTCTTATGTCATTTTTAAATTTTGGCTCGTAAAAATTTCTTTTATTTTCTCTTTTATAATTAACTTCATTTTGAAATGTACGCCTATTATGGTTTTCTTTAATGTATGTTCTTACATTCCCTGATTGATAATCATTTGTATCCCTTAGGTATTTTTTCTTTTTGATTTCTATGACCTCTTTTTCTACTTTTTCTACTTTTTGATTAATATCTCTAATGATTTCATTAAAAATTTCTGGACTGGTTGTATTACTTAACTTCTCTTTCCATTTTTTAATGTCATTATCTAGATTTTGTAAATGTTCTTCCCGTCTAGACACAATGTACCCCATTGCGCTAAACGAGAAGCCATCTAACATTGGCTAAAACAAATAATACCATCAGAACCCAAAATAGTCTATAGGGGCTGTAAAAATATGAAACAGATTTTAGTAAATAGTAGTTTTAAAACTAAACAGAAAGATCCTTTTTTTTAAAAAAGCAAAGGTTTTTATGGCTGTGGTTCATGTTTAGCTTGTAGAACCACATGCCAGAAAAAAAGACATGTGCTATCTTTTAATTATCAGAATGATAAGACCTTTTATATCAGAGATCAATTAACGTGTTTTTCAAAAAATGTGATCTATATTTTAAAATGCCCCTGTGATTTAATTTATGTAGGAAGAACTACGAGATGTCTCAACATTAGAATTTCCGAACATGTTAGAAATATAAAAAAAGGAGTAGAGACACATAGTGTCTCTGACCACTTTAAAATGCACCATAACAGCAATCCAAAAAATACATTTTTTTGTGCTATTAAAACTGTACAAAAAGATTGGAGAGGCGGAGATTTTAACAAAAAGATAGGGGAAGAAGAAATGAAGTGTATCTACAATTTTAAGACCCTGATTCCCCATGGTCTTAATCAAGACTTTGAGTTGTGTCATTTTTTAGTATAACTCTGCTTGTGATATACTTTTAATTTTTAATATAACTCTGCTTGTGATATACCTTTAAGATTTTAGGAACGTTCTTAATATAGGTGTTTGTCCGTTTTTTATAATTATAGTATGTATGCCTTCCATTAGAAAATATATATTTTTTTAGTTTAAAGGTCATATTTATTAGGAGATTAAGAGTTGTATTATACTTGTTCTATAAATATAGCACAGCTGACTTTGTTCATAGTCAGACTTATGGACGGCCAATAACTCATTTTGTGGAAACTCTGGTTCGTTTGTTCCAAGAAAAGTTTGCACCATAAGACTTGGATTTTGGCTTTGGAATCCTCTTCTCTTCAACTTCATAACTCCATCCATTTTTTTCAGCAAAGGCAATGGCATCTTCTTTTGAGGTGAATGACAGCAGCATATTGGACAAAGGATCGGCAGTGGAAGCCCAGCCCATTAATGGATTTTCCCACCGCTCACGTGTATCAAACTCCATCTTCCATTTCTTTGTGTTTTGCACGCCAGACTGCATTGCATTCCGTGCAGGAACAAAAATGTGGACTTTCCTAGTTTTGATATGCTCTTCCGGAACTCCAGTTATGGAAGTGATATCCTTGAATGAAATGTGAGTTGTGTCAACGTTATCAAGGTCAGACTTCCTCAAATATAGTTCCTTATCTGTCAGCATGGTTATAATCTGTAGATTTCCTTTCTGTAAATTGAGAAAATATTCATCTCCCCTCAAGTTGAATACTCATATTAAAACAAAATGATTTAGTTCAATTGCAGTTGTAAGATTTCCTAGTTGGCAACTACTAGAATTTATTTCCTAAAGTGTTACTCTAACTACCATGACCACTTCTAGTTTTAGAAGTGGTCATGGTGGTAGAAATCTGTATGTGCAGAGATAATTGGCCTTTTGTGCTGAGGTTTGTTGCACCCATGGAACAAGTGACATATCAATCCGGTGCAAGAAAATAAAAAATTTATAAATTAAATGTAAAAATGTTTTGTCAGACAGACATAATAAGCTTCTCGCTTTATAGCTTGGTCATTTCTTTACAACCAGAGCCGTGTTTGTGAATGGTGGGGAGGTGAGCAGCAAACTGGCACTGAAAGTGGACAACTTCCACATAAGCAACTTGGGGTAGGACTGCCACTGTAAAATGGGACTGTGGAGGAAAACATGGTAAAGTATGAAATGGTTCAGAAGTAAAAAAAAAAAAAAAGTTGTGAAGAGGTTGGGGGAAGGATCCCTCTCGAAAAAATGATTGTGCACACCTAACTCTATCCTCTGGCATTTTAAGGGTTTAACTATCCACACAACAATTTCCCCACACAACAATTCTGACTACACATATCACTTTGCATTTTCTTACATTCTGAAAATAGGTGTGCAATTCTAACCCATCCGTTTTGCTTTAGTAGTCATGGTGTGTGATGTGGTCTGGTTATTCATCAGTGGAGGAAAACAGCAACAACAACACATTCATTCTTTGTTTGGATAAAATGAAAACTAAATTCCACAACAGCCTGGCTTCCAGTTAATCACCTCTGGAATTAAAAAGATGTATGATCAAAGAAAAGATCATAATCTTTTTTTTTTTTTTTTTTTATATATTTTATTTTTATTGGATTTTTGAGTGCATGTCTCCATGTTTCCGGAGTACGGTAAGACCTTGTATTATAACATTGTAATAACACAAAACGTAGTGTTATAAGGAAAAAGAAAGAAAGAAGAAGAAGAAGAAATAAAATATCGCAACATCGCAGCACTGAATACAAGTATAACATTCTCAGTAACAATTGTATTTGGCCTAGGATACACATTGGTTTCATATCTGTCACGGTAAACCTGCCGCCTTGGTCATTGATTCCTATGTGTGTGTGTGTGCGGTATAGCATGCGTCCAAGAGTTGTGGTATGTCGTTCTGGGTATCGCTGTGGTTCAGCCTTTTATACCCAGGTAGTTAGATTGTTGTGCCATAGGCGAAGAAGAGGACCTCCCATGCACCCTCTGTCCCACCCCCTGACCTTGTTCCTTGTCCCTTTCCTGGTTAGCTTCCCCCCCTCTTAGGTTGATACGGTGGTTAATTAGTTTAGTCGGCCTGTCTACCTCTTAGCAATTCTTTCCAGGGTTGCCATATGTCTTTGTATCTGTGATATTTGTCTAACGATCCCCATCTTAGTTCCTCCATCTCATGAAAATGTTCTATTCTTTGAAACCAGTCTGTTTTAGAGGGCGGGATCGCCGATTTCCAGTGGTTCACTATCGAGCTTTTTGCCGCTGTCAGCATAAAGTAAACGAGGGAATGTTTGAATTTACGGTGTGGTATTTCGAAGTGGAGTAGTAGGAGTGCCTCTAGGTTGTAGGGTATGGGCGTGTCTGCTATCAGATTGACCGTGGTCCAGACTTCTTTCCAGAAGCCCGATAGCTCCTCACATGTCCACCATATGTGCTGGAAGGTGCCCTTGTCTGAGTTGCATCTCCAGCACATTGGTGATGAGTTGGAGTCGAATCTGTGAACATCCACCGGGGTGGTATACCACTTGGAGATGAATTTATAGTTAATCTCCTGTAGTGGTATGCTAGAGTGTGCGTGGAAGATCGTTTGGAAGATATTCTTCCAGTCTCCTGCTTCTAAATCTTTGTCTAAGTGGTCCCTCCATAATCTGGTAAAGTACGGTAATTGAGTACTCGTCTGGGTTTGTAACAGTTTATAGCAGAGGGATGTTGGCTTGTGAGGCGTTTTTTCTCCCGAGCATAGTAGTTCAAATTTGGTCCTGTCCCTTGGAGTCCAATGTGATAAACCCTGTGCAGTCAAGAAATGTCGCATTTGTGCGTACTGAAATCTCTGCATAAGGGATGGGTCTTTCCCTTCTGTCAATAGTGTGATTGGCGTCACTCCCCCCTCTCTCACTACCTCGTCTAGTGTCAGATGTGCCTTCCGTTGGTCGTCTCTCATTGGTTTCAATTGGAAGCCCCTTTTCCCTGCTATGAAAAGGGGGTTGTTCGTTATAGGGTATTTCGGAGATGGTGTTGGGGCAATGTCTGGGTAGCTGCGTACTTTTTTCCATATTTGTAGGGTTGGTGTTATCGTCGGGTGTGCTAGTGTCGTCCAGTCGTTACCCGAGGTCAGCAGCCATGGAATTGCCTTTAATGAGTCGCCTATCTGAACTTGTTCTATTGTGACCCACTCTTTGGAGGCGTTTTGGTATGTCCAGTCTATGATTCGGCCTACGTGTATCGCCTGGTAGTATAGCCAGATGTCCGGCAGGCCCACCCCCCCTAACTCCTTAGGTCTCGTTAGTATGTTGTACCTTATTCTTGGACGTCTTTTGGCCCATATGAACTGTGTAAATAATGCCTGAATTTTCTTAAAAAAGGTTCTCGGGATGGCGATTGGGAGAGTGTTTAATAGATATAGTAGTCTGGGGAGTACATTCATTTTTAAAATATTTATCCTCCCAAACCATCGGAAGTGTGGTTTATTCCATGCTTCCAGGTCCGCACTAATAGCTCCTAAGATTTGTGGGAAGTTAGCACCATATAATAGCTTAGTGCGTGGAGTTATATTGACTCCTAAGTATTTGATGGACTTTGTTGCCCATTGAAATGCATATCGCGTTTGTAGTCGTGTCTTGTCCTTGTCTGGTAATGTGAGGTTCAGTATTTCACATTTGTCAGCATTGATTTTGAGAAAATATATTTTTAGTTTTATTTTTACATTATGTTTTTAGAATTGGTAATGTTTTATTTGTACCAGCTTAAGGGCATATTTTATACTTGCTTTTAGACACCTCTATTACTTATTTTCCATCTTCTCATTGGATCACTATTTGAAATATTGGATTAACATTATTTGGCTCTAAGCATTGTTTGAAAAAGATTTGTTTGCAACATTCTCAAGTATTACATTGGCTTTTAAAAGACATTAAGGACAGTATAATTAGTATGGAACGCATATGCGTTCCAATGACGCCTAAAAAGAGACGTATGCATGCACGAGTCCGGCCGAGACCGGAAATGATGTCATGGAACTAGGAAATCAACGGTGGAACGCATAGATGCGTTCCACCTGATATATTGAATTATTGCCGAAACCGGAAGTGACATGGACGCCACCAAGGGGACTATCACTGAATCAAGGATCCATACTAGAAATCACTTCAAAGAGGTAGATGCTAACAGCTATATCGAGAAAAAGAGCTGCCACTACCCTCCATGGTTAACGAATGCCCCTAAAAGTCAATTCCTAAGACTTAGAAGGAATTGTACAAAAGACTCCGATTACACAACCCAGGCAGACGTAATCAAACAACAATTTTTACAAAGAGGTTATGATGAGGAAGCACTTTCAAAAACTTTAGAGGAAGTAAAAAAGATGAAAAGAAAGGACTTGATAAAACAGAAGGGAACAAAACTGAAAAATAATAAAAACAAAAACCACATTAACATACCCTTCATATGTAACCACAGCGGCAATAACGGAAAAATCAGGAAAATTATTAAAAAATACTGGCCAATTTTGCAGGAAGATCCAGTTCTAAAACAAATAATACCATCAGAACCCAAAATAGTCTATAGGGGCTGTAAAAATATGAAACAGATTTTAGTAAATAGTAGTTTTAAAACTAAACAGAAAGATCCTTTTTTTTAAAAAAGCAAAGGTTTTTATGGCTGTGGTTCATGTTTAGCTTGTAGAACCACATGCCAGAAAAAAAGACATGTGCTATCTTTTAATTATCAGAATGATAAGACCTTTTATATCAGAGATCAATTAACGTGTTTTTCAAAAAATGTGATCTATATTTTAAAATGCCCCTGTGATTTAATTTATGTAGGAAGAACTACGAGATGTCTCAACATTAGAATTTCCGAACATGTTAGAAATATAAAAAAAGGAGTAGAGACACATAGTGTCTCTGACCACTTTAAAATGCACCATAACAGCAATCCAAAAAATACATTTTTTTGTGCTATTAAAACTGTACAAAAAGATTGGAGAGGCGGAGATTTTAACAAAAAGATAGGGGAAGAAGAAATGAAGTGTATCTACAATTTTAAGACCCTGATTCCCCATGGTCTTAATCAAGACTTTGAGTTGTGTCATTTTTTAGTATAACTCTGCTTGTGATATACTTTTAATTTTTAATATAACTCTGCTTGTGATATACCTTTAAGATTTTAGGAACGTTCTTAATATAGGTGTTTGTCCGTTTTTTATAATTATAGTATGTATGCCTTCCATTAGAAAATATATTTTTAGTTTTATTTTTACATTATGTTTTTAGAATTGGTAATGTTTTATTTGTACCAGCTTAAGGGCATATTTTATACTTGCTTTTAGACACCTCTATTACTTATTTTCCATCTTCTCATTGGATCACTATTTGAAATATTGGATTAACATTATTTGGCTCTAAGCATTGTTTGAAAAAGATTTGTTTGCAACATTCTCAAGTATTACATTGGCTTTTAAAAGACATTATGGACAGTATAATTAGTATGGAACGCATATGCGTTCCAATGACGCCTAAAAAGAGACGTATGCACGCACGAGTCCGGCCGAGACCGGAAATGATGTCATGGAACTAGGAAATCAACGGTGGAACGCATAGATGCGTTCCACCTGATATATTGAATTATTGCCGAAACCGGAAGTGACATGGACGCCACCAAGGGGACGGAACCCGGAAGTACTAGGTGGAACGCATATGCGTTCCACCGGAAATTTGACCGCGAACTCTAAGAAGATTTAAAGAATCAAGAGAATACCAACATTATATGCCAACTGAGGAAGCCACATCGGCGAAACGCGTTTTGGCAAGCATATTGGACATTACAAGGTTTTATTTATTGTATTACTATTACTTATTTTTATTTATTTACCTTTTTTGAATAAATATTCTTTGCTTTGGAAAATACCTTCCATGGTTCATCACTGAGGGGAGACTGACTATAACAAGCATCAAAGAGGTCTGGGGATCACCCAATTAAGATCCCAGAGGAGATCCACACCAGAGCCAGGTTATATTATATGGCTCTTCCATTGTGAGTGAATTTGACACATATTTATTAAGAGTTTCTGTACAGCAATATTTGCACTATTTTTGTATCTCTCTATTTCCCACAGCTTAAATTTAGAAGAAAGAGAAGTATTAATTTTATTTTTCTTTCTTTCATTATCACCATTTGCTTCACTGATGAAGAGAGTCAGAGGCCGCAGCGGGGCTGCATAACTTGGACCCAGCTTCCTTCACCGAACCACCACAGACAGCACATTGAAACCTGCCAACCATATGGACTAGGACTATTCAAGCCCTTCAGCCTATTTTACCAAGCGGTATTGTACGGACACTCTCTCGTGGGTCTGCTTAAAGCCACATACCCATGATGTTTTGATTTAATGCACATCGCTATATATGCTTATTTAACCCTTGTAAAATGTGTTTGCATAGCAGAATTGTTGGTCTGGATTAAGCTTACGTAGCATATACCTAGCTTGAGATGAATATCTACTGTAAAGCAAGGCAGAACCGTTTGAATACACATCTCATTAAGTGTCCTGTCAATCTTATAGGCAGATTACTGTCTACCTACATGCTACATAATACAGGCCTATTCTACTTTTATTATTTTTCTCACACTTAATTAGCCTAGCTAAGGGTATTTTCTTGTTATCAAACCTTCCAACTAGAGGTTACCCCTTTTGCCTGCGCTTAATTGGTCAGCCGTGTGCAACCTCTATAATGCATCTATGTTGCCCACACAGCACACAAAATCCTGCCACTATCTCCATGCCATGCTTATGTCTAACCGTGAAACTGCTTATCCAAGCTGACGTGGCACTGACGGATGTCTTTAGCAATGTTTAATCGACTCTAATCACTTCTATATATGTTAGAACCATAGTACGTTTATTGTCTTGAGCTGGATGACCCCACCGAGACCTAACACAATAGACGAGCAAAACTAGCTTGTACTTAATACGTTTAAAATGTAAAAATGCTCCTAGCCTGTTTTATCTAAAAAATTTGCTGTATATTCTTGCCATAACAATGTACAGCGTTGAAATGCCTGTAACCGCTGTTGTGGCGCTACAGACTACTCTGTTATGTAATCAAATGCACAAAGAAAAATAAAGAATAAAAAAAAAAAAATAAGTAAATTGGATCAGCATATCCGACTGTCTAGCCGTTGATATCCCCCGCGTGAACGGATGTTTAGGAACAGATCTGCTGGAAAACCATGAAGGAAAACCCGATCTTGACGGTAGCCATCAGAAAAGTGTCCAGCTGAAAAGGGCCAGAGAAAAGGAAATGGTAAAATATGTCCCAGAGACCATCGTACACAGTACAGACTAGGCTGAATGATTAGGATAATATAGTTGACAATAAAATCATGATATACTATTTAGTATGCTTCCATATGTTGCAGCCACTAGGTGAGTTCCTTCTTGGCTGTGAAGTTAAGTGGCACAGAGTCGGAGTAGGAGTGACCCAAGCGTAAGTGTGTAGCCTTTAGTCTTTGCAGGGCCCTGTTATGTAGAGGCCTTGGGAAAATCGCCTGGATGGAGGCTGAGAGGAAGCTGATTATCCTGGCCAGTTGTCTCAAGGTTAACACTGGGCGAGCCAAGGTGCTGCGGATTTCCTTCTTGATGAGTTTTACCTTTGTGCGCGCTAAATGTTAAATCCTAAGAATTCCATGGATAGGGAGGGGGTTAGTACTGACATTTCCCAGTTGATCAGGAATCCCAAGTTGTGCAGGAGGGATAACGCCCAAGAGAGATTTTGTTGTAATAGTTGAGCATCGTGTGCTATGATCAGCATATTGTCTAAATATATGATCATGTGGACACTTCTGCTGCACAGGAGGGCAACCACAGGTTTCAGCAGCTTGGTGAAGCACCATGGGGCTGACGACAGCCCAAAGGAGAAACACTGGAATCTCCACGTTCTCTCGTCCCATTGAAACTGAAGGAGGTGGCAATCGGCAATCGGGATGGTGAGATAGGCATTCTGTAGGTTGAGTTTGACCATCCAATTCCCCAACCTGATGAGGTCCAGAAGGCACTGGATTCCTTCCATCTTGAAGTGGTGGTACCAAATGTATGCGTTGAGGGGACGCAGGTTAATAACCGGCCTCATACCACCGCCCTTTTTGGGCACTAAGAAAAGGTTGCTCAGGAAACCGGGAGAGCAAGGCGGAACTTGGTAGATCGCGCCTTTCCCTTGTAGTACTCTGATTTCCTCCTCTATTAGGTCCCTGTCCCATTGGAAATACACCATTAGTGATGTCCCGAACGGTTCGCCGAATGGTTCGTGAACGGTTCGCCACGAACGGTTCGCCACGGACTCATCATTGAGTAAACTTTGACCCTGTACCTCACAGTCAGCAGACACATTCCAGCCAATCAGCAGCAGACCCTCCCTCCCAGACCCTCCCACCTCCTGGACAGCTCACTAAGAATGCAGCTTCAAAATGGATGCTGTCCAGGAAGGTGGGAGGGTCTGGGAGGGAGGGTCTGCTGCTGATTGGCTGGAATGTGTCTGCTGACTGTGAGGTACAGGGTCAATGTTTACTCAATGATGAGTCCGTCGTGAACGTTCGGCGAACTGTTCGGGACATCACTATACACCATCCAACGCGGAATTGAGGTTTGGGTTGAAGGTTGCACAAACCCTATCCGATAACCTTGAATGGTATTGAGGACCCAAACATCCGATGTTAGTCTGTGCCAAGCCTCAATCAAATGGGATAGTCTGCCCCCACCCAGCAGACTCCAGCTCTCCTAAAGGTGGGGAGGGTGAATAGATTTAAATTAAAAAAAATTTAAAAAAAATTGCTGAGCGCATGAGAAAATGTGAGAGTATGTGTATCTGTCCGTGAATGAGTGTGTGTCAGTGAGTTAGTGCATCTGTCAGTGTGTGTGTGTTTCTGTCAATGAATATGTGTGTGTCTGTTAGTGTGTCTGTGAGTGAATGTGTGTGTATGTCAGAGCGTTTCAAATCAGTGAGGATGTGTGTGTCTGTGAGTGTCAGTGTGGGTCAAATCAGTGAGTATGTGTCTTTCACTGAGTGTATGTAGATGTAAGTATATGTGCATGTGAGAGTTTGTGCCTGTCAGTGTGTGCCTGTCAGAGAAAGAGTGAGTGGGCTAAACAGTGTGTGTGCCAATGACTGTGTATCTATTAGTGAGTAACTGAGGTCTGTCTTGGAGGAAAGACGAGATGGGGGGGGATATGATAGAAACATTTAAATACATAAAGGGAATCAACACAGTAAAGGAGGAGACTATATATTTAAAAGAAGAAAAAATACCACAACAAGAGGACATAGTCTTAAATTAGAGGGGCAAAGGTTTAAAAATAATATCAGGAAGTATTACTTTATTGAGAGGGTAGTGGATGCATGGAATAGCCCTCCAGCTGAAGTGGTAGAGGTTAAAACAGTAAAGGAGTTTAAGCATGCGTGGGATAGGCATAAGGCTATCCTAACTATAAGATAAGGCAAGGGACTAATGAAAGTATTTAGAAAATTGGGCAGACTAGATGGGCCGAATGGTTCTTACCTGCTGTCACACTCTGTTTCTATGTTTTTATGTCTGGAAAAAGTCCAGCCTTTGTTAATATAACAAGAGAAATTGTCGATGTAACCTGGCAGCCAAGGAGAGTTGAGTAGACTGTGCATGCATGAACATTGACAATTTCACTGTACTGGTAAGTGGGGGGTGCTAGACGCCATTAAGTGAGCATGTGTACTGTGTGGCAGTCGCATTCAAAATGATAAGCGAGTAGAGCAACAAATCTGCATCAAATTTTGTGTTAAAATTGAAGATTCTGAGAGGAAGCAAACCTCAACAGCTCCTACTCCATGCAGAGAACAAAGCAGAATTTCACTCCTCAAACGGCAATAAATTGGTGCGGAAAGGCCACCAAACGAGAAGTGACATCAAGCTGAACGAGATGACACCACCCAAGCAACATTTCATGCGATACTCACCCGACAAGAATATAAGGCCTACAAGCATGGCAGGCGCAGGAGAGACAGCCGCTTTCCCACTGCCGCGATAAAGCGAGCACTTGCGCCAGGGCCCTCGTTTCCCCCCCCTCCCTATGGACCGGTGGCGGTCATCGTGGTCTACCCCCACATAGAGAGCACTCACCTTCAAATCTGAAAGACAGATATACGAGGCCTGACCAAGATGGACGGCGGCTCCACTACCTGCAAAGAGCGACCGACTTCCAGTGACTGGGCAGAAGCCTGGCAGAAAAAAATATGACGACATATGCGGGCAATTTTGGGAATGCCTGGAGAATAGGCGACAGCCACTAGCACCGTCACCAGTCAGTAACATGATCAGAACACACACAGCACGACCGCCAGCCAGAGCTCTGTTCCCTGAATGGAGAAATACTGAGGTGCAGCCAGAAAGTCCCCAACCGGACAAAGCAACCACCGAACCTGCATACTATAATACTGTTGGCCCACCTGGGAAAAGAGCCATACGGGGTGCAGCCCTTATACACCACTCATGCTTGCGGAGGAGAGTGAGACACCCGCAAAAGCAATGGAGTGCAGCCCTGCGCAGCCCCACACCAGGGAAGGACTTGGCCCCAGGATTGTGGCGAGTCCGTGAGCAGTGGTACTGGCTCCTAGAAGGTCTCAGGACAGGAGGGGCGACTAACCAGGACTGCGCTGTGAAGCTCATGTGGACGCACAGGGTACTGAGGAGCAGCTGGGAAGGCTCATCAATGTCCATTCCAGGAGCCCCTGCAGTCCCAGGGGAGAAAATCCTCACTGGACCCCAACTCTCCTAAAGGGAAAAAAAAACACAAAAAAACCCACAATAAATAAAATAAAAATGTATTATTGAACATTCCACTGGAAACTGCAGTGCAAATAAAAGAGTGGCACAAATGCTTCAAAGATAGCTGAGAATCTGTTGAAAGATTTGGTGTCTTACGACTTCTGTCTTTTTCCAAAACTAAAATCACCTTTTAAAAGTGAAGAGATTTCAGACCGTCAATGGCAATAGCTGATGGCAATTCCAACAAAGGATTTTGCAGAGTGTTTTAAACAGTGGAAGAGACTCTGGGAGCACTGTGTGAGATTGGAAGGTGCCTTCTTTAAAAGGACGTCATTGTCCTATATATAATGTTTTTTGTATCTTCTTATTACGTGGCTACATACTTTCCAGGCAGACCTCGTATGTAAGTGCATGTATCAGTAAGAGCGTGTGCCTGTCAATCAAAGTACGTGTTGGTCTTAAATAGGAAGAGGTATGGCCTTGACAGGAAGGGGTGGGGAAGTTTAGATAAGGGCTCGAGTTTAGTCATGCTTAGGGCAGCATAAATCTAAAATACACCACTGCCAAAAACCCAACCTCAACAGGGCTTTGACCTCATTTAAAAACCTGAGGACAGACACAAACCCACTTTTACATGCTATCTCGCACCTATACACTCTGCTCCTCCACAACCGGAACCTCCTACCAACTTCCTACATGAGTAAATGGGAGATGATGACAGGTGAAACTTTGACAGAACAACAATGGGTCAAAATATGCAACCTTACGCACCACTGCGCATTGGCAAGTAAAACCCAAAAGACGGCATACAAAGTTTTGACCCTGTGGTGTAGAACACTTGTAGAACACGTATAGAATCTTGTAGAAAATGAACCCAGATCTACATGACAGGTGCTGGCGATGCCACACAGGGGTAGGCACATTTCTGCACATATGGTGGGAATGTCCAAAGGTAGTCCCCTACTGGAGAGCGATTAGTAGGGTGCTACAAAAGTTCTCCAAAAACTCTCCCCCACCCCCACTTCAAGCAAGCTGCATACCTCTTACACTGCACTACAATTCCGACAGCCAAATATAAAAAATCCTTAACTATTCGGATAGTGAACACAGCAAAACACATCCTGCCCTTGTATTGGAAGACAGACACGCCCCCTCTGTTAATTACCTGGTTTGAGAAAATGGAGGAACTATGAGGACTGGAAGACTTGACGTTTACAGCACAGGGCCGTTCACAAACGTACTTAGACGTATGGACACATAGGTAAGTAGAAGTCTACGGCCCAGACTTCCAAGACATGCTGACATATACAGTTGCAAGAAAAAGTATGTGAATCCTTTGGAATGATATGGATTTCTGCACAAATTGGTCATAAAATGTGATCTGACCATCATCTAAGTCACAACAATAAACAATCACAGTCTGCTTAAACTAATAACACACACAGAATGAAATGTTGCCATGTTTTTATTGAACACACCATGTAAACATTCACAGTGCAGGTGGAAAAAGTATGTGAACCCCTAGACTAATGACATCTCCAAGAGCTAATTGGAGTGAGATGTCAGCCAACTGGAGTCCAATCAATGAGATGAGATTGGAGGTGTTGGTTACAGCTGCCCTGCCCTATAAAAAAACACACAACAGTTCTGGGTTTGCTTTTCACAAGAAGCATTGCCTGATGTGAATGATGCCTTGCACAAAAGAGCTATCAGAAGACCTATGATTAAGAATTGTTGACTTGCATAAAGCTGGAAAGGGTTATAAAAGTATCTCCAAAAGCCTTGCTGTTCATCAGTCCATGGTAAGACAAATTGTCTATAAATGTGGCCGTCCTGTAAAGATGACTGCAAGAGCACAGCGCAGACTGCTCAATGAGGTGAAGAAGAAACCTAGAGTGTCAGCTAAAGACTTACAAAAGTCACTGGCAAATGCTAACATCCCTGTTAGCGAATCTACAATACGTAAAACACTAAACAAGAATGGATTTCATGGGAGGATACCACAGAAGGAGCCACTGCTGTCCAAACAAAACATTGCTGCACATTTGCAGTTTGCACAAGAGCACCTGTATGTTCCACAGCAGTACTGGCAAAATATTCTGTGGACAGATGAAACCAAAGTTGAGTTGTTTGGAAGAAACACACAACACTATGTGTGGCGAAAAAAAGGCACAGCACACCAACATCAAAACCTCATCCCAACTGTGAAGTATGGTGGTGGGGGCATCATGGTTTGGGGCTGCTTTGCTGCGTCAGGGCCTGGACGGATTGCTATCATTGAAAAGAAAAATGAATTCCCAAGTTTATCAAGACATATTTTGCAGGAGAACTTAAGACCATCTGTCTACCAGCTGAAGTTCAACAGAAGATGGGTGTTGCAACAGGACAATGACCCAAAGCATAGAAGTAAATCAACAACAGAATGGCTTAAACAGAAGAAAATACGCCTTCTGAAGTGGCCCAGTCAGAGTCCTGACCTCAACCCGATTGAGATGCTGTGGCATGACCTCAAGAAAGCGCTTCACACCAGCCATCCCAAGAATATTGCTGAAATGAAACAGTTCTGTAAAGAGGAATGGTCAAGAATTACTCCTGACCGTTTTGCATGTCTGATCTGCAACTACAGGAAACGTTTGGTTGAAGATATTGCTGCCAAAGGAGGTTCAACAAGTTATTAAATCCAAGGGTTCACATACTTTTTCCACCTGCACTGTGAATGTTTACATGGTGTGTTCAATAAAAAC